CGAGGCCACGCCCACCGGCCACACCCACCCACCCCCGGCCCCGCCCCCCACTCACCAGGTACAGCGCGAGCTGCCGGCGCTGGGCGGGGCTCAGCTCCTCACCTGGGGGAGGGGGCGGGGCCAAGGTCAGGGGTGGGGCACCCATGGCCACGCCCAGCCCCTGATGGGTTGGTTCACCCAAACCAGCAGCCAATCCCTGCTGGCTCCTCCCACTCCGGCCACGCCCCCACTTTCCCATTGGCTGCTCCCGGCCCTGCCCCCGCCCTCCCATTGGCTGCTCCCGGCCACGCCCTGTCCTCCCATTGGCTGCTCCCGGCCCCACCCTCCCATTGGCTGCTCCCGGCCTCGCCCCCACCCTCCTATTGGCTGCTCTCAGCCACACCCCACCCTCCCATTGGCTGCTCTCAGCCACACCCCACCCTCCCATTGGCTGCTCCCGGCCCCGCCCCCGGCCCCGCCCTGACCGAGGCTCCAGGGGAAGGGGGGGCTGCGGTCGCCCGCGAAGGCCTCGAGCTGCCCCCGGCACCAGCCCTCGTCGGGGGGACAGCGGCCGAGAACCGCGCCTGCGGGAGAGAAACCGCATCGGGGACGGGGACGGGAACCCCAAACCCCTGATGGGGGACGGGAACCCCAAACCCCGCACTGGGGAACCCCAAACCCCTGATGGGGGACGGGAACCCCAAACCCCTGATGGAGGACGGGAAGCCCAAACCCCGGACTGGGGAACCCCAAACCCCTGATGGGGGACGGGAACCCCAAACCCCGCACTGGGGAACCCCAAACCCCTGATGGGGTACGGGAACCGGGAACCCCAAACCCCGGATCAGGGATGGGAACCCCAAACCCCAGACTGGGGAACCCCAAACCCCGGATCAGGGACGGGAACCGAGGCAGGGAACGCGAAAACGGGGAGCTGGAACCCCAAAACAGGATCTGGAACCCCAAACCGGGGACCTGGGACCCCAAACCTGGGACCTGGGACCCCAAAACGGGGACCTGGGACCCCAAACCGGGCGTTTGTCCCCCCCCGGCCGGGGTCACTCACTCTCCTCCTCGGGGGTCGCCGCCTGCAGCCACTCCCGCACCGCCTGCAGCCCCTCGTCCACCAGGAGCTTGGGGTACCTGGGGAGGGGGGGTCACACCCTGGGGGGAGCCCCAGGGACCCCCAAACCCACCTGGGACCACCAGGGACCCCCCCAAACCCACCTGGGACCACCAGGGACCCCCCCAAACCCACCTGGGACCCCCAGGGACCCCCCCAAACCCACCTGGGAACTCCCCCAAACCGACCTGGGACCCCCCCAAACCCACCTGGGACCCTCAGGGACCCCCCCAAACCCACCAGGGACCCCCCCAAACCCACCTGGGAGCCCCAGGGACCCCCAAACCCACCTGGGACCCCCCCAAAACCATCCACGGACCGCCTGAACCGACCCAAGACCCCCCAAACCATCCCGGGACCCCTAAAAACCGACCCAGGACCCCC